ATTTTTATAACTCAGTCATATTCACACCAAACTCGTTCAAAATTTCAATGTAGACTCAAAATCACGTCTAGATTATAGGATCAGTCGTCAGAAGTAACACAGAGAAGTTTTATACAGCGTAAAGGTTTTTCGACAGTTTTCTAGAAAACCAGTACCCAATCTTATTCCGGTTTCTCAATTTTTGCACTTTTCTGTAAAACTAGACGTGATTTTGAGTCTACATTGAAATTTTGAACGAGTTTGGTGTGAATATGACTGAGTTATAAAAATTTTGATTCTATCGGTTTTTCCTGAAAAAGCTTAATTTTCCAAAAAACGCATCAGCTAGACTCCAGTCGATTGCCAGGTGAAAACAAACATTGCCACGATGATCAACATATTTGATAACCTATGTGACGAGTAATTTTAGATCTCTCTAAGGTATCCGGACTGAGATAGATACCTTGCCTGAGAATGGTCATAACTCGAAAATCTTGATAGGCGGAAAGCTGAGGATTTGTCCAGAATTGTAGATCTCGGTCCAGAGTATCGACTGGACTACTCGAAATTTAAATTCCGTCGTAATGTCTGAGAATGGCATTCCTCGACATTTTGAATCGAACAGCTTATCATAGTAAATCTTGTACGGAACATTTAATTTTTCATGGTTTTATGTCCCCCGATGTCGTCTTTCGATTGGCGAAAACCACAGGTCGCTAGCTATCATGGTTAAAAAGTTATAAGTATCGCGCCCGCACACACCGGTTTTAAAAACGCATAATAGTTGTGTTAGCAATATGATCCTTCCATGTTAAAGTATGAACAATATTTACTCCAAGTAAGTTTAGAGATGAGATATCCTCAAATAAAATGTTATCGATTTTTATCTCGCCTAAATTTTTAGTAGACAACAGGATATTGGAAAATACTATCCATTGACATTTATCTAGATTGAGTTTGATGGGCATTCTGTCACACCATTCTGACATTTCATCTACACATTTTTGGGCAGCATTCAAGTTTGCATTTTCGGAGTCCCTGGCGCAAAACACATCATTTGCAAATAGAGATGATAACTTTACAGTCCACAGGGAAGCTGGTAGATCATTGATGAAGATCAAGAACAAGGCTGGACCTAAAATACTTCCCTGGGGTACACCTGATGTTACAGCTGTTTTTTTAATGCGCACTGAGCCAATAGAAGCAGTTTTCGAGCGAAGAGACAAGTAAGACGAGAACCATTCGTATAATTCACCTTGGATATCAGCATATGATCATTTGGCTAATAGTATTTGATGAGGCACCTTATCAAAAGCTTTTTCGAAATCAAACGATATTCCTATTAATTTCTTTCTATTGCTCAAAATGTTGGTTCATAAAACTTGTTCAATAAATTAGTGTGTGTATGATAGATGAATGCAGACGAAAGCCAGATTGTTGAGCGTAGATAAGCATTTTTTCTGAATTTTTTTCACAAGTGTACCTAACATTTCACTTTAGTCGAAAACGCATATTTTTACTACTTTAGAACAGGATTCGATTGAAATGGAACATTTCTACTTACTTTCAAATCCATCACTAAATAGATCAACTGGAGTACTACTAGATCTGAAAGTTTCAGTCTTCAACTTGCTTTTGTTCGAATAAAAATCACAGCAAAAGTAGCAATTTTGGAGAAAAATGCCACTTTTGAAAATCACTTTTCTTCCAACAGGCCAGGTAAATTCTGAAAACTTTTTGCGATAGAAGTGATTCCAATCCTGCTGTCGATAGATGAAAAAATTGATAAGTACCCGAAACATCGCGGTTGTCATCAACAGAAGAATTCGTACAAATATCAGTGCTGCCTTAACCTAGTATTTTCCATTTTTTCGCATAAAGAATATCATTCCATTGCAAAATAAACTCAATCTTGTATTGTCGCCGAACAACGCCGAAAGAACGCACCTGAAGAAACCGAATAAGGTGAAAAGGGTTTCAAGTTTGTCCGATTTCACCGTGCTTCAATGTGTTAGATTTCAATTTTGTGTCATTTTTTATCAGTTCAAACGCGTTCAACTATTCGCACAAGCCTCGACGGACTTTCTTAATTGTTAGAATCTGTGGATATGTTAGGAAATAGATTTACGCAAGTGCCAGTGGTGTCTAACTCGTTTTAGTGGATTTATTAAAATGTTTTAAGCGCGTTCTAACTGCTTTATTATTTTTTTCAAGCGCGTCGAAATTCTCACTTGCATGGTAAGATCATCTCACAGGATAGGAGAAATAAGAAATGACCGATTTATTCCGAAGCGCTCATCATTATAGAAGGTATTAAGTTCAATAATCTGTGCATCATAAGCGGTGGAGCTAGTACGCTTGATAGGCTCGAAGCCTTCGTGATTCTGATCCGCGCAGGCTCAGTCTCTCCTGATTTTGAAATTAAAACATAGAAAAAACATACAGTTTTCAATAAGTTTAGTTATGCTCTTAGTTTTATAATTTCCTCTACAAAATGTTTCCTGGCGGAAAAGATGATATGATTACATATGAAGTAAATTTAAAACGTAATAGCAGGAGCATGGCGGGCATTCACGTGAACATTGAGCCAAAAAGTAGATTTTGACATTTTCAGTCTTGATTGACGGATTATTTAGTTAGATAACTTGGCTATGTTGTCCTACAATAACAATCTTTTATCTCTAGAAGGAACTCATGCTAAAAAGTTCGCCTTTAATTTGATGCCAAGACTGAAAGTTAATTTTTATGAATGTTAATTAAATATTTACATTTAAAACGATCTCAGCAATAAATCACAACTATTTTGCGTACCTATAGGTGTGTACTTATAGATGAACAGAATCGAAACTGAAAAATTGAACGAAATTTGAACTGGATAGAAAAAACATTATTCTCTACCCTAAATACGTGTCCGAAAACCAAGTCTTTAGTGTAAAGAGTTTCCTGCTCTTCTTCTCGTTTTATTTGTGCTCAAACTTTATCCTGCATCTATGGTTTTAGTGCCAAATAGAGTCATCCTGATTCTTGTTATAGGTTTTCCAAAAACTTTGATATTTCAAGTAAAATCTGTTTTTCTCAGTCCAGGAACACTTTAGAGAAAAAGTAAGATCAGATCCAGAATCAGCGCGTCAAGTTGCATCGTATCATATATAATATAATAAGGTTTGGATTGAATAACTATCCATCGAAATATTTTCCTGTGACCTAGCAAGACTGATTTTTCGAAAAACGTGATTTTTTTCTAAGAGCGTTTATTTTGTCTTGAAAAGCAGCAACACGAAACACGAACTCGATTAAACTATGTGTTGATAACACTTGTTCAAAAGAGAGACTCAACACTTACGATGATATCGAAATATGCGCAAAAGTCGTTTCAACTAATGGTAGCTCATATATGCTTTTGGCTATTTTTAATAATTTTGTGATTTTTTGAGTAAAAAGTTTTGATGACAGTGGGAAAATTCTTATTAGAAAGGACTGAAATGTTATTTTGCGGCTGTCTTGCCTGTAAGATGTACGGACTCTACGCTTCCAGCAGTAGTAAAAAGCTTTCTTCACGTACAGCAGAATCTACTTCTCACAACACCTGTAACTAGAAGTACAACTTTCGAAGACGATATAACTCTTCACAGTGTTTGACGCAAAATACTGGTATCGAAAAGCTTTTTGCCCGAGTATCTCAGGTAAAATTTGGCAGTTAGCTGGAATACTAGTGAGTTTTTGTCAATAGTGCAACTTTCTTCTCTTGAATATTACAGAAAACATCAGAAAAATAAAACTTATTTCCTATTTTAGGTTTGGTATGTTGATATAAGCTTTATTCTAGAAAAATATTACATTACTTTAGTCTAACTAAAAGCATTCAGTCAATTTTGTACGAATAGAGAATTGAACACATGAACTTAGCTTTGCAGTAAACTGCAAAACTAAACTTGGCATGTTAACAATTGGTTTAACTTTGTTTTTATTAATCCAGAACCGTTTAACATTTGGAACCAATACAATCGACGCAAAAGATATGGGAATACGTAAGTAAAAGTTTTCAAGAACAAGCATTGAGCACAAATGATGTTCATTTTGAGTTTTGTGCTTTCATTGAAATAAGATGATCCTCTCTCGTCTTTGAATAGTATATATAGAGAAGACCTTTTTTTTCAGGCTTTAGACAAGCTATTATTGATGCAATACAAAAGTTCGATGGACTCTCAATTAGTATGAACAAAAGCAACTAAGTGAAGGTTATTCAGCTTAAAATCGCCTTTTTTCTTTTCTAGCATGTCCACCGGGTAGTTTCTTTTATAATGGATCGTGTTACTATTATTTTCCACCAAAGTCTGAAAAAATGAGAGGACTTTCGTATGCTGATATATCATCTGATGACGGTAAGTGCATGCAGTTCGAAATATCGAACAAAGTGAAAAACATATTTGTTCGTTACCTGATGTTCTTCCAATTGAGAACAACTACAAGGTAACTTTCCCTGTCCGTAAATCTTAGTATCGAAATTACGCTGGCTTTTGAGTGTTTATAATCTTCCCTTCGTTAGAAATAGCGTTTGTCGCCAAAAAGTTTCGATTTATAGAAACGCATACAGGTAATACTCTAAAGTCTCCTTTTTCTGTTCTACTAATTCTTTTACCTCTAAGGAAAAAGCTCGAGCTAGTGGGTTAAACAGCTGTGGGGAAAACACCAAAATAAAGTTAACCCATATATTTGCGAAAGACAAAGTCCGATTTTGGAATATTGATAGATTTTTGTTCTGCAGTTACGCGACATCTTCCTAACGATGTCAGATGGAGCCACGAAAACCATCCTTTGAGAGAACCAACATTGATTAAAAGTTTCGTTTTAGATTGGTTTGGTATTTACCGAGATCACTTTCTGCGAAGGAGGTTTTAAACTCAAAGAGTATGAATACATACGCGCGTGTAAATTCTAATGCTACTAGCGATATTTGTTCTAATTATATGAAGCTAAATAGTTTTGCAATCTTCTTGAATCTGCGTCATTGCTCTATCTTGGATGACATCTACACAGATGTCGTGACTACTCATTATTACGTAAAGCGTTACCCTAGTGAGTGTACTTGACGATAGGTACCCGAGTACTTGTATTTTTCCTACTCATATCAAGCAATCCTACTAGGTTCTTACAAGATCCTATAGGATTCTACTGATAAGAGGATTTCATTGGATTCCTATTGTAGGGTCCTATAAAATCCTACAGCAGGAATTCTATAGGATTCCTGATATAGGATGGTAGCAAAAATCCTATAGGATTTCTATAAATAGGAATCTTATGCATTCTTTATAAAATCCTACGGTAAGCTTGTGTAGGATTCCTATTTTTCGTTCTGTATATATTTTCTTTTCGTTTTTCTTTGAGAGAACACAATCACGGACGTGTTTTGTAATAACTATGATATAAATACAACTCTATTGTAGAAAATGAAAAATTCTTTCAGGCTCAAATTTTCTAAATTCCGTGAGCCATCGAAACTCGCTATACTGTTCGACGACGAGTGAATGAGTACTCACAAGTCTTGGCCTTATCTTAGCTCAGAATCGCCTGATTCTGGCTAGCTGAGATCAGAGAATAATTAAACAAATAAAACTAATACACTTAGTGGTCATATCATGTCCTAGCTGATCATGTAAAATCCTATTAAATCCTATAATAAGATTATATACGATCTTATATGATCTTATACTTTCTTACTGTAGGATCTCATAGGATCCTATAATAGGAATCCTACGTCATTTCTTGCTTTAAGATGGCAGACGTGTTTTCTATAAGATCCTATATGATTTCATAGGATCATATAACATCAGACAAGATCTTATTTTAGAATCTGTTAGGATCTTACAAAATTCCATATGATCCTATTACAGGGTTCTTTAAAGGGCAGATACCTATGCGGGTAGCCTGCTACATCAATGCCATAAGTGCTTGAGTTTTTTTCAAGTAAATATTATCTGAAAAAAATTCAATAATATAGTAAATATTACTCAATTATTTGCGCTGGACGCAGTAATAGTTATCAGATATTTTTCCGTTCACAGTTTTGTTTCGCGTTCTGACATATACAGAAGAAAAACGTCTGCTTACAAGAACGACGTGCGTTGTTATCTTCATACGACCATCTAAAATGGCTGGCCGTTTAGGTACCAGCTAAGTAATATTTTACTTGCAAGCATCTATGACAATCTTGTAGCAGTGTATCTAACTCGGGTACCTATGTTCAAGTATATTCACTAGGGTATACGTTTGAATTTGATTTGATTTGATTTTAGCCTCAAGACATTGTTCGTTAATAAATGCTGTTTTATGGGATATTGATACACGGAACGAGTTTGAATATGTTTTATCATACATTTACGACAAAACAGGACTTTACGATAGTCCTAGAATAGCTGTTCAATTTCAAAATGGCAAAAATGGTATATTTTTGTGGCAGAAAAAAAAATCTTTAAAATTATGTATTATCAATTTGAACTAATGTTTTAGTTTTGCAGTTACAAAAAACAAAGAGAAATATAACAATCGAAACAATAGTGACAACAACTAAAGATCTTCCTTATAGTTTAATATATAAAACTCTTCCATATGTAAATAGTTGTATTATTCTGGAGATAAGTAAAGCGATGAATAAAATATCAGTTGAAGATAATTTATGTTTTGTGCGACGACTCAGTAATTACATTTGCAAATTAAGTAAGTACTGACGATAAGATATGACTATAAATGAAGCTATAAATTCTTTATTTTAGAAATCAATAGTTGTTATAATAATACACGGTGTGGACGAAATGGAAAATGTAAAAATCTTGTTTATAAATACGAGTGTACATGCAATTTTATGTATAATGGCGAGCATTGTGAAAAATGTAAGCAACTAAATAAAGTATTTATATGATCAACTCGAAGAATTTTAAAAATTTTGTTCAGTCAAAATCGAGTGCAGATTCATCTTCTCCATAGGCGATTATCTGATATGCGACAAATTTTGAATCGACGTATTTTAAAAAAAAAACATTTCCTTCAAAATTTTTTCCAAAGGTTACTTACTGTAAAGATAAAACGATGTTAAAAAAATTTTCAAAAGTGACCTGATCCAAAAAAAAAAAAGTTAATCGACTATAGAAAAGACGAATCTGCAGTCGGTTTTGACCGAACAAACTTTTAAAATTTTTCCAATTAGGTGATATATGTGATGAATAATCGTAAACTGTAAAAAAGTTTTCTTTTGAGATGTAAACTGTCCAACTGAAAATTGCTAATTAATTTAGTGAAATATGCTCAGATATCTAAAATTCTTTTCAATATAAGCTTCGATTCATCTACTTCCTATTGAACGCTAGATTAACAGTATCACAAAACATTTGCAAAATTAATTTTGAACAATGCAGGTGTTAAAAATACCTCATTAGCTCATTTTTTGGCAGAGTACGTATTTGACAATTTAGATTTTTTAGCGATAATTGTCCTGTTTTGAAAATGTTATAGTCTGAAATGCATATTGAATGAGATAATGATGATGATCTTTACTGGATCTAAAGAACTACAAGTTGAAAATAAATCATTTTGGTGTTTTATTGAAATGCTTAAAATGAAAAACAGAGGATAAATGATGTTATGGTCTCCTTTGTGTGCACATTATACACACTATTCACCTATCCTTTTGATATTTTATTCATTAATCATCGAACAAAAACATATACATACATCTATATTGTTCTCTTTATTCTTGTCTCTGTCTTGTTCTCTCACTGCTGATCTTTTTATCGTCTCGTCCTCTTTCTTATTTCACGGTCCATTGTCTGATTGAACATAACCCTCAATGACATTAACTGACAGCCGTGACGTCTGCCGTCATTTCCATTACTACAACTACCAGATTTTATCTGAATTGGTGATTTTTTGAATAAAACATATGTATTTGAGATTATTTTATTTTCAATAATGAAGTAAATGTTTAATTGAGAGTAAAGATTAAAGATTAGTTATACTTAGGTGACTTGACAAATTCAATTTGAGAAATCGTGTGTATTATTTATCTATACACTTGAAAAAGTATCACTCTATATTCTTCCTTCATTCTTTGATAGTACTTTAGGTGTATTATGTGCTCAAAACCACTACAGTACTGATACCAAACACTCCTATAAAGAACCGATTGTTTATGTTTGACATATTGAAGACACATACAACTTAAATGAGAAGACAAGAGTGCGCTGTAATCTTTCTAAGTAGGAGTAAAATAGATGCATTACATTTTTTTTGTTAATCTTTATTGTTGATCTATATTTAATGTTTAAAATAACGTCATCCATTATTGTTTTATTTTTTTTTCTAATGGATTATTCCTTTCATCTCTTTCTCTGTCCCTGCCTCTCGCATTATCCCGCACGATATGTATACATTATACTCAAATTAATAATATCTCGACTTTATCATTTTATTTGAACGGTTACCCTTTTTTGACAAATTGAACGAAAATAGCTTTTTGTCAAAGTAAAAAATAAACATCTTTACACAATCATTACAGTTTATCTTGTTTTGTCATTTTAGTAAGTAGTCGTGGTATACAATCAATAATTGGTGCTGGATTAACGACTGTCGCTATATTTATTCTTCTATTTCATCCCGTTTTTAATTCATTATGTCCATCAAAGGATAATAGACAAGATTTTATCAGGAAAAAGTAAGTTTACTGTTGATAATAGTTGGATACGTACTCAAATGTTCCTGTTATTATGATAATATTATCTTGAGAAACTTTTTTTTTGGAATAAGTCATTATGTATCGAACAATGGTTAGTTAAGGTTATACCTTTTATCAGCCCATGCATGAAACGATGACAGCTGTTCATTTTTGAGGTTATCTGCCTTCAACTCTTGGAAAAAGTAATGTAAGGTCGAATGTAGTGAAAATCTTGTTGCATAGACAAGAACTACAAGATTTAGATTACACCATTTTTTCTTGTGTTTAACTAAGTCTAGAGAAGTTATTTAAGAGAACGTATATAAAAGTCTCAATGATGATATGTCAAAATGAGTCAGAATGCAAATTTTAGAATAAACGATCGTTTAGGAAACATAGCTTAGCCTTTTTTTGCGATGGCTCAAAACTAGAATTCTGGTGCTATCACTCCTTTTTAAACACTAAGGGCGATCATATAAATGACTCTATCAAATCAACTGTTCATATAAGACCCTTTTCTCAGAGAGATATGTCTACAAAATATGATTGAGAAGGACAATTCCAGATATCTCAATTATTTGTCATGATATAAATCTCATAGTAAAACGCCAACTTTTCCTACGTTAAACCGAACGTAAGGTGTTATAGTTCATTAGACGGACAACAACAAACCTTCTACCGATAATGGCAGAAATTCTACCGATTGCATAATCTCAGTCGTTGTACAAGATATAAACAGAAGATGCACAGTTTACGTTTGCAGTTTTCTGCAAAAGTGAAATGTGTAGTTTTCTATCATTATCGGTAGAAGGTCTGTTGTCGTGCGTCTAATGGAATAAGTTTCATGTTTTTCCATCCGAATAGCGTGTAGTAAGAACAGTACACACTGTTGTTAATTAAAAGTCTGAATTAGAATATGGTCAAAATCATATTGAGTCTTGTGATATGAAGAATTAATTTTGGCAACTTAGAGTCAATTTTTACCAATAGTTATTGAGATGATGATAAAATTGACCAACTTCTTAACTTAGAATAGTATTAAAACTGGTTTCTATTGTGAAAACTTCTTGTATTTCTTTTTACTTCATGGATAGACGTGGTTGTTTCAGATTATTGTTAACCCAGTTTATTGTGAACTATTTAGCTTAATAATGATTTGAAGATCAAACTCATAGACCGAGGATGAGCAGGGGGGGGGCACTCAGTCGTATAATTATTAATTAATTAACACTGATCATCTCAAAAAGAAATTTCTATCTATGACTGTTTTTTCCTTTTGAATGTAGATGACTATATAATATTAGAAAATGTTTATTAACATCCAAGCTAATATCGACATTTCATCATTAAAAACGAATGAGCAATAGTTCAATTCTGAACTTTCAATAACTAATGCTTTTCATCCCGTACTACTCTACTATATACCTTAACCAGATGTTCAATCTATCAGAAATAATATCAATTTGTTGTGTACTAATGAAAATTGAGAGTAGTTTATGTCTTTTATCCTTGAAGATCAGACATATCGTTGTTGTCTTTATCTCTTTGATCATTTTTTACTTTGAATAGGGCGTGGTACAATAGTAACGCCTTTTATATTTTCATTAGTTCAATATATGGATACTAATTCGAAAATAATACTATCATCTCATCACGGTGATGATACCTATTAAAACACGTGTATGCACATTAGTTTGTCTGTATATGTTCAAACGTCTCGTCTCGTCTCTCTTTTCTTTTTTTGTTAATTGCAATGTTTTTATTGAACTGTTAATGGTGTAATATAAAGACATGCTCACTGATAGCATGTGAGTGATCCATTATTTTGTGTGGTTTATATAATCACATTACATGAGTGTTGTATATTTATTTTGACAAAGGAACGAGTTTTACCTGTATTACAGGATACATTATCTTCGACTAATATCGATGAAATTTTGATATTACACTCCTAGTTAAACAATATATCTGGTTAGTATGAACTCTAATTAATTAATATTCTTTTTTTCTCATTTTTAATTTTCTACATCGAGTCTATCACATTTTTTGTTGAAAATACTTGTTTTCTTCTGGGGAAGGGGACGAGACTTGAGTATCACTATCAAACTTTTCCATTAAGTATTTTCAAACATCTTTCTGTCTAGTTAAGATTCACGTTCGATTTTGAATACGGTGATATTTTTTATACTTCGAAAACAGATCTATCTGATCTTGATTATTGTACGTAGATATCATAGTTGAATACATAATTTAATGTGGAGGATGAAGGAAATGTGAAAATGAGACGAGAGACAGTCGTATTCATTGAACATATTTCGGTAATAGAGTCTGTTCTCAGTTGCACAACCAATTTTTTTTTTACTTAGTTACAAAAAGATATAAATCAAATGTAACCGTACATACACACATTTCATTTTTTTTTTTTGAACTTTTATTACATAGCTATATCTTATTCAATAATCATAAAAACGAAAATCATCCCATGTCATCATCATTTATTATTTTTGTCATGCACACTGTATGCAATATATTGCACGTTATCATAACAATCTGCAAGCTCAAAAAAAAAAATGAAATATGCTTACACAATACTGATGAATATTACTCCCTATCTTACTCATCACTATACGTAATGTTTTATTTTTGTAACAAAATAAAAAAGAAAAGAAAGAAAATTTTGTTCATCTAGAGAAAGAAATTATGAACAGAAACGAAACAAAAAAAGACAAAATCCCAACTATATTGAACATTAATAGAAGGAGGTGAAGATAATAGTAATTTCCTCCTTTGCATAATAGATACAAACAGAGAAAGAGAGAGAAAATATATCATATATACATCGATTTTTTTTGTATCATCAGAATAGTGTGATTTTTATGAGTTTTGTAATAGTTTTTAAACGCTACGTTTCAATATAACGGTTAGTGAAAATTATGCAATAGACAAATATCAGTTGATAAGTTCAATTTCATATTTATTAATTAGAATGATCCTGTTTTCTAAAATAAAACTAATTTATTTTTAGAATTTTTATAATGTCAAATTCAACTCATCGTTTATCTCGTGAAAAATTTTATTCCGTTCCAAATGTTTCATCAGATACATTACTTAATCATTATAGACATTCACTACTAACTACACCAACATCAATTGAAAATTGTCAAAATGATAATGATTTTGATATAGATGATCTGAAAAAAACAATAGAATTTAAACCGGATAAAATACCAATTAATCATAATCATATTATTGTTAATCTTCCACGTCGATCATCATCAAATGTGTCAAATAAATTATTTTATTCAAAATTTCGATTAAATTATACCATGTTATATTATCTAATACGTTTTCTTGTACTCGTTAGTACTATCATATTTGCCACATTATGTTGTACAACTGTTTATCAAGTTAAAGTAGAACGATTAGAACGTTTTCATCAATATCGAAAAGTACAATTATTACAAAATTCAACAACAACAACAACAGAAACAGAATCAACTTATTTTCATTTAAAAAATGCGAGTGTATGCCGTTTATTTAAATCAAAATTAAATCGTTACTATAAAATACCAGCCAATTATCTTTCACTTATTTTTATTTTATTACTATTTTTTGTCTTATTTTTCTTTCAAAATATACTTAAACAATGTCAAAATCGTACTGTTATTCGTTCAACAAAAAAAACATGTTATCTTTCATTTCCCATGATATTTAATCCACATTGTTATACAAATAGATTTGAATCAGCAGCTGTATTTGGATTATTAGCACTTGAAATATTACATATATTTGATGAATATATTATACATGCTTATCGACATCTTACTCATGGACCACTCATTGATTTAATTATGCAAATTGGTATTGGATTATTATTAGGATTAAGATATTTTCCTATATTGGCCATGTTTGAACAAAAACCAGAATATAAAACAAGATTATCAAATATTTTATGTTATTCATTAGCAACAATGTATTTATGGACAGAAATTATATTTAAATTACAAAATGATATTAATTGTACTGATAAATCAATAATTAATGATATTAAAGAAACAATAAAAAATTTAGAAAAAATGGGTATTAATCCAAAACAAATGCTATTTGATCATTTAGGTAAGTAAAGTATAATTTAATCTTATGTTAAAAAAACAAATATATATATATTCTTCTCTTGGATGAACAAAATATTTCAAATATCTTTCATACTTTATTAGTATAAATACTTTTTTAGGTCAAAATCGTACAGCATATTTAAATGAAACAGCTCATAATTATTCATCTCGTGCAAAATTGTGGTATCATACGAAACAATCAAAATTAAATAATTTAACCTATGATGAAAAAGATGATGTACAAATGGATATTTTACGTTTAGATCGTTCATTAGGTCTGAATAAACAAGGCATTTATTATAATACATTTCGTTATGCACCCTATTATTACTATTCAACATATTTGGCCATAAGATTAACATTAATGTTTTTATGTGAATTTATACAATTATTTCAATCAATACCAAAACAAAAGCAAAAATCTTTTTCAAATCAACAATCACCACGATGGAAATATGTACAATGGAATCTACTAAGAACAGAAAATCATTTCGGTAAGAAGAGATAGAGACGTTTGAACATATACAGACAAACTAATGTGCATACACGTGTTTTAATAGGTATCATCACCGTGATGAG